GCTGATGGGATGCATACAGATTTTCCTGTCACACACAAATTCAGCACTTCAACAACAGAAGAATCCATAGTATTTTTAAAAAACACAATTAGAATTCCGTCTGCAAATAATCGGTTTCTGCAATGTTTTTGTAGACAGATTCCGATGAAATACTGATGGGATGGAACAAACATCTTGTGATGGGACGATTTGAAATCATTCTCATACAGTCTCAGAAATGGAGTGTTTCCTAATGTGATAATATAAATAAAGATGATGATGATGATGATGATTATTATTATTAGATACATTACAAGATTAGTACACAGCAAACAAGATCACTATGCTTGCTTTTGTACTAGATCACATGTCGGACACTTCCCGAGTGTCTAGGAATGTGTGATGTATCAGCGAATAATTATGGGATCAAATTTAGTTTCTCACCCCTCAAAAAAAGTAGGCAAAAAAAAATCCAGCATGTTGAAAGTTTCCTCAACTTTGCAGGAACTTTGTTTTTCCCCTCAGAAAATAAACAATGTGCCTCTTGAGACACATGTAGGAGTTTGAGAAACTATTCAGCTTTGCAATACAAAAAGCTTTGCTCACTGCCTTTTCATTACACATTCTTTGCTGATGGAATGTTTGCAGCCTAAATATTACTCTTAAGGAAAAGAAATTCCGTCGTTGAAGCTGTAATCTTGCAAGTTATAATGTTAGTCAGTTTCTTTTTATACTGGAAGCTGCATCGTTTCCAGGAGAAGGTGTATGGTTTCTGGAAAACTAGACGATTTTCTGGGAAAACTCTGCAATTTCCCCATTATTGTGATGAAGGAAAAATCCTGGATGTCTCAAATCCATTTTCTCTGGACAGAGACAGCTCTGTTGGTAGGGCTTATCCAATCTCAACTATGAGTTGATGCTGCCATGAATGTGTCATCCCAGAAATCCATTTTCCCGAGGAAAAAAAAATCAAATATGGGTCTGAATGTTTTTTGTATCTATTTTATGTTGCTCAGTTATCTCCATCCTGTAGGGTTTATTTCCTGATGTGGGGAAAGTTTTCAGAGCACTTTAAAAATGTTTTTTGAGCAAGTGTAGTGCTCAAAATTGAAACTATCCATTTTGATCTTTGGATCTGTAGCAACTGCGGAGACTGTACAGCTGTGACAACTGTAGGGCTATAAACAGTATCCTATTCCTGCTTATTCCAAAAGCGCAGAACAAGTTTAGATGTGATCTCATCTAAACTTAGATGTGATCTGAGTGCAATGGGATTTACTCCCACATAAACATGTGTGTGAGTGCAAGTTACATTTCACTCAAAACTGGTTCAGAGTTGTTATTGTTTGGTTTTCCCTTCCTTTTCAAAATTATTTAAACACTGCATTTTTCAGTAGTCAGTATTTTATCTAGGGTATCATTTGATTTGTAGGGGCTAAAGTTTCCAGGAAATTGCCTAGGGCAGTGAGATGTGTAAGTAATTGCAGTAATTTTATGCAGCAGAACATTCAAAAATGTGTCTCTAAATGATCTCTGGTTGCTTCCAAGTCATGGAGTCTTTGTGTGCCATCGCGGTAACATCCTAAAAACAGCCGTTCTGCTACAAAAGTTAAGTAATTGCTTCTACATCAGTTTACAAAGTTGTGACATACTGCTGGATTAACATTAGTCACATACCTAAGGAGCTTGTGGCAGCTAAATTATATGTATGGGTAGCTTGCCTTCTTAGTACTTAATACTTTATGGATAGCAACAGCATTTTGTGTTTGGATTATTAAATCTCAGGAAAAAATGTAAATTAAGGGGTTTATGACAGGAAAAGTACAAAAGCATGTAAAACGTGGAGAAACTGAATACAGTAGGAAAATCTTTTTCTTTCTGTCCGAAAGTATATTTTAAAGCGAAATGGTCAGACACTCGGAATAGATAGAAGAGATAATGTCTTTAACATCAACTTGTTAATGCAATGGAGAAGAGATTTGTAGTGACTTCTAGTATGATGACTATATACAGTAGTCTCACTTATCCAACAGAAATGGGCCGGCAGAATGTTGGATAAGCGAAAATGTTGGATAATAAGGAGGGATGAAGACTCTACTGTAAGTTAATTTCGAGTGTCAATGGCCGTATTAGTGTCAGTTGCTGAGAAGCACTGATAGGTGACTGTCTTTGCATGAAGAATGTTAGCCTAAATAGGTTTTAGTCTGATCAAAAAATATTCTCCTTACATTATGAAACCAATGAGGAAAAAGAAAACCTGAGTGAAAGGGAGAATGATTCACCATAATCTCTGAACCTTCCCCTTTCTCCTGGAAATACAACTGGAGAGGAAGAGAGAGGAAAACCACGTTTGCATTTAGGTATCAGTCTGATACTATTCAACTCAGTTTTGATTTCGTGTAAGCTCCCTTTGAGTTAGAAAGTCAGTGGTCCCTGGGAGTGGGATAAGATATTTTTAAAAACCTATTGGTGTATAGTAATCCACCACAAATATCAGGGTATTCCATGGCTATGTGACAGTTCTTGCTCTCAGGTGGGAAACATATTGGGATTTGATGTATATGCTTCAGATTTTTTTCAGAAAAGGTATCTTATTATGTGATGCTGGGTTAATTTTTCATAGGATGTTTGACTGAACCTTTTGTAAATGGCTTTAAAAATTGAAAAATGCAATCCTCCCTACCCACCCATGCAATACCAAAAGGGTATTTTATTTAAATATTTTAGACTTGCTGGTATGATTGGTATTTAGTTAGAATTCAAATGGGAAATGTGCTAACTGAAGGGAGAGTAATTAAATCAATGGTTATGTGAGTTTCAAATATTACTTAGTAGTGACACAGCAAACTACACTTGCCTTCAACCTTTATCTCCATAGCAGCTTTTAGGGGTATTTTTTATCCTCTAATATTGAGTGGGATCCAGAGTCCAGGCCCACAGAATTACTGAAGATCAAATTCAATGAAAACCTGCTTTAGATGACATATAGAGCTAATATTCAAGAAGCAGAAATACAAAGAATTCTTATACATAATGAGACTATTCTGGGATTGTTTAGATCTAACTCACAGTATTTTTCTTCATATGCTATCGTTATGATCTATATAAGGTCTGTAGGAGCACAATGTGTATTAATGGTATATCTCAGCAGTTTTCAATCTTACATGAAAATATTTAGATGTTTTAATGAACAAATCCATATGAGTCCCTTCATTTATCAGTGCTATACTCATAGATCTCTGTGAGAACCAGGAATCCAAATATTCAGAATTTTCTAGAAATCTCTAGGACCTCCAGAGTAACTCTTGTTTATAGAATCTCTAGGTGTTTCAGTGCAACATTGTGGTGTATTTGTGGTGTATTTCAGGCAGAGGTTGACCATAGGGTCTTTCTGGAGGATCTACAGATTGCTAAAGAGAACATATTAATCAAATCAAGTTACACCTGAAAATTTGGAGAACTGACTGTATATCATTAGCTTATGATGGTTTGGGATATTTCAATTATTTGCACACTAGCAGAAATGTAGATAATAATCCCTGCCAAGATATCCAAAAAGGGTCCCAGGATACTTGTTATTTTCCTACTTCCTCCTCTTCTAAACCTCTTGATCTTACCTCAGAAAACAGTTTCCCCTTTTCTTGCTCTTTAACATTAGAAATCTTTGCAGCAGTGCCATAGTCCTCTCCTGCTTCCCTGCCATTTCCCCACCTTTAGATAGAATCTTAGCATCAGAATATCATAGATTCAGTTTTTCTAGCTGAAGTGTGAATTTAATACTCCAAAAGCAGGCCAGGGAACCTTGTGTTTTCAGAAAAATGTTCTACCTGCCACTTCAGAATCTTACCAGCAATGCCTTAGAATCCCACCCATATCCCCATCCAGTTTTAATGTTCAGAATCATAATAGCTGTGCCATAGCTCCTTGTTAATGTCCTAATCCAATCCCCAGAACATTAACAAAATGCGTCAGACTAAACTTATTCAACCACAGCTTTGGCCTCTCACTTGATGCATATGTGAAACATTATCTGGTCTACTTGATGAATATGTTGAAACATTATCTGGTCAAAACTGCTGGATGAATTGCTACCATATTTGGCCACAAGGCACCCACTAACCCAAGGAGTGACCATTACTCAAACAAAACAAAACAAATCCCCAAACCCACAAAAAAAAAAAACAGTGAAAGAGGCTTTAAAACTTCCAAAATAAAATATGTTACAATGTATGCACCAACCCCCCCCCCCACTTTCAATTATGATTACCAGCTCGTTCTGTGACTCCAAAACGTTTTCTGTTAAAAAAAGTTGAATACTCTCTTTTGTGACTTTCCAGAAGTAATTAATCTTTTAAATAGGTTACAATGACCACCTACGCTAGTGAACATTAGAAGTGCCCATTGTTTAAAACCAGAAGGGGACTTCCTACCAGTTCAATTTTGTTTGTTATGTTCAACATTTTAACAGTCTTTATGGCCCATGCAAGGGCCAAAGGAGAAACAATTGTCTCCTGAATTTATCAGTTATGTCTATTCCTACCTAAGATAAACAGGTAATGTTTTGAGGAGAGAGCAGCATACAAGCTCCAGCTCTCAGGTAGTTAGGAATCAAACTGGAGTGTTAAAAATGAGGACAGTGGAATTGGATTTGACGTAACAGTTTGAAAGAAGTTAGGTTTAAGTATCTTCCATAATAATGCACTACTATCTGCTTGTCTGTGGGTGTTGGGGAAAGGGAAAGGAACTGAAATGGGATGCAAAAGGAAAATTAAAGGGAAGGGAGAAAATTACAGCCACTTAGGAAAGAAAAATAGAGCCTCTCTTGTTTGGACAAGACGGAGACTGGAAGATAACTGCATTGGTCAGGTGGCTGTTTTTCTCCTGAGGACCCTTTGAGAGGATACAGAGATTGCCAAAATCACAACACACACCAAAAAAACTAGATGTGGTCAGATACTTGTCTCCCTTTTAAATAAATTTAGATATATTGCTATTAAAAAGTGCAAGGGAGCACTGAAACCTTTGAAAAAGTTTAATTACCACTCCAAGATTCTTCCAGGAAAGGGAATACACTTCTTTCTTGAAAATTCACAGACCAAGGTATCTGTAGGGATCAAAAGGCACAAACAGTATTGTGAGGCCCATGTAGTTCCCAGGCTAGCATTCTGCAACCCATGAGCTCAGAGAAAAAAGCAACCAAGGCATAAGAGAAAGGAATATAAGATGTTTTATAGTCAGAAGAGAGTTGGGGGCAGAAAGTGATAGAAAAGGAAGGGAAATATATATGAATGCAGAAAGGAAAAAGTTGCCTCCTTTAGTGGGAGAAGGGATGTTTACCAACACACACACACATGTGTATTGTCTCCAGTGCAGTGGATTTGTGGGATTTTTAGATTCACCCCTCCCACTATTACATACAAAAAATCCACCCCCATAATCTAGCTGTCAATCACAGATCATGTGGGTCTCTATCCCAGTGATTCTCAACTTGTGATTCCTGGACCACCAGTGGTCCAAAAAAGCTAAAATATGATCCATGGCTTCACCATTACTACATCATTGCAACGCCCCACGGACCATGCTCCCTTCCTCGTGGCCATGGGGCCGTGGCGAGGAGGTGAAGAGAAAGCCATTAAGGATGGTTTCTTGGGTCTCACACTCCACTTCTTGTATTTTTTTTCAGCCTAACACTCCCCCCCCCTTTTTACACGAGTGTTAATAAAATCCATGGATAATAAGGTAAAGGTAAAGGTTGTCCCCTGACATTAAGTCCAGTCATGTCTGACTCTGGGGTGTGGTGCTCATCTCCATTTCTAAGCCGAAGAGCCAGCGTTGTCTGTAGACACCTCCAAGGTCATGTGGCCGGCATGACTGCATGGAGCGCCGTTACCTTCCCGCCAGAGTGGTACCTATTGATCTACTCACATTTGCATGTTTTCGAACTGCTAGGTTGGCAGAAGCTAGGGCTGACAGTGGAAGCTCACGCCGCTCCCCGGAATCGAACCTGCAACCTTTTGATCAACAAGCTCAGCAGCTCAGTCCTTTAACCCACTGCGCCACCGGGGGCTCCTCATGGATAATAACACAGCCCAATTAAAAAAAAATTGGTTTCTTCGTTTTTAGGCCTGGTCCTGGGATTATTAGGGATGCTGAATCAGAAAATTTCATTGGATAGACCACATCAGCTCTAGATTATTAAATGTGGTTTTCTGTGGGTGAGCAGATGGTGACTATTGGATGGCATATGTTCTGTATCAGAAACTAGAGCTGATGTGGTCTATCCAATGCAGTTTTCTGAATCAGCACCCCAAATAACCAAACCTAATCTAAAGTTGACCAAAAAACTGATTCATAACCCTTTTGCTACTAATGTTTGAGAGTGGTCCCTGGTCAAAACAAAAAAAAAAGAAAAGAAAAGAATTGGGAACCACTGCTGTATCAACTGATGGATTAGGTTGTTGTAGGTTTTTCGAGGTATATGGCCATGTTCTAGAAGCATTCCCTCCTGACGTTTCACCTGCATCCATGGCAGGCATCCTCAGAGGTTGTGATGGATTCTGTGTTTTGAAAAAACATCAATTGGAGGTACAGATCCCTAGTGAGTCTTACAAGTTCTGTAAGGCATGCCACCGTTTAAAACACACACCCATCAAACTATAAGTTAGTTTTCTAAGATCTACCGAGACACTAGCTGGAACACCTCAGCAAGCGAGAGTCCAAAAGTGGCAGGCTCAAACCCAGAACCTCAACCAATGGCTGATACCAAATGAGAGACTCCCCCCTGGGCACACAGAGGACTGGGCGACTTGGAAGGCGCTGAACAGACTGTGCTCTGGCACCACAAGATGCAGAGCCAACCTTCAGAAATGGGGCTACAAAGTGGAATCCTCGACATGCGAGTGCGGAGAGGAGCAAACCACTGACCCCCTGCTGCAATGCAACCTGAGCCCAGCCACATGCACAATGGAGGACCTTCTTGCAGCAACAACAAAAGCACTCCCAAGTGGCCAGATACTGGTCAAAGGACATTTAATCAACTACCAAACTCACACATTTTGTATTTTCTCTGTTTGCTTGCTTTGTTCTGTTAGAAATGTAATATAATTGACTGGCTGCCCTGACACGAGAAATAAATAAATATCTGCTGATGTTTTATTTGATTTTATGTTGATTTGTTGGCATCTCATTCAAAAGCCTTTAAATGGTCATGAAGACCTGTGCCTTTTGGGGCACCATGATAGTACTGACAGGTCTCAGATTGATATTTTACAGTTCACCCTACAGGGACAATAAAAGCTTTTAATTTAGATTTGCTGCATCACTCCCTTACCCAGTCTTTATATAAAAGAATAGGTGGTGTGTGTAAAGAGTTTTCCCCTACACAGATTGTTTCTATAAATTCCAAAAGTAACCTTTGTACAAAATAATAATAATAAAATAAAATCTGATAACCCCAATGTAGTCACTAGGTGGCACTGGATTTATTTGCCTTTTTGTGCAGTCAAGAGTTTCCCATTTTTGTCCTATCCATGTTTGATAGAGATTATGATGCTGCTGTCTAACTTTGTGACTGCTGTGTCCATTAAACCAGTGGAGTTGGGGAATTTTTGGCCTTCCTGATATTTTAAAATGTCATTGTCACCATCTCCTAATCTCTCATTGGTCATTATGCCTTGGTGTTCTAGATGTCCAAAATATTTGGAAGACAAAATGTTCCACAGACTTCTTCTAATGAAGCATCTGCAGAATGAATGTAGTAGGGCACTACTGTGATGCTGTGGGATTCTGGGAATTGTAGTTTGGTGAGGAACCAGCACTCTGTCAGAAAAGGATAAAGACCTTGCAAAATTAGAAGTCCTATTTTTATTTATTTATTTATGTATTTATTTATGTATTTATTTACAGTATTTGTATTCCGCTTTTCTCACCCCAAAGGGGACTCAAAGCGGTTTCTACATAGGTAATGGCAAAATTCAGTGCCAGCACAAACAATTACAATTATACAATTACAATTAGACATAAATCAACTTAAAATACATCCATAAACAGTAGAACAATCATTAAAACAGTAAAACAGTCTCATCCGTCAAATTGCAGTTCCAGTCATTGTCTTTCCGAAATGCTGCATACATTTGTTTCTACTGCCTGAAGGCCTGGTCCCAAAACCATGTTTTTAATTTTTTCTTAAAAGCCAGGAGGGTGGGAGCGGATCTTACCTCATTTGGGAGAGTGTTCCTTAGGCGGGGGGCCACAACCAAGAAGGCCCTATCTCTCATCCCCGCCAGGTGCATTTGCGCTATTGACGGGAGCGAGAGCAGGGCCTCCCCGGGTGATCTTAGATTATGAGGTGGGACATAGGGGTAGATGCGTTCGGACAAGTAAGCTGGGCTAGAACCGTATAGAGCTGTATAGGTCAAAACCAGCACTTTTTGTCGTGTCAGGAGCGACTTGAGAAACTGCAAGTCACTTTTGGTGTGAGAGAATTGGCCGTCTGCAAGGACGTTGCCTAGGGGACGCCCAGATGATTTGATGCTTTTATCATTCTTGTGGGAGGCTTCTCTCATGTCCCCGCATGAGGAGCTGGAGCTGATAGCGGGAGCTCATCTGCCTCTCCCCGGATTTGAACCTGCGACCTGTCGGTCTTCAGTCCTGCCGGCACAGGGATTTAACCACTGTGCCACCGGGGGCTCCTATTCCATACCATTGAGCTATTGCAGTTAAAGTGATGTCAAACTGCATTAATTCTTCAGTGTAGATGTGCCCTAAACCTCTACTGTAAGAACAATTATAAGCTGTATTTTTTGCACCAGTTAACTGAGAAGTTGATGGTTTAGTTAGAGAGGGATGATTTATACTAGACTTTTGTGTAACTCTGCCAGTTTCTGCCACTATAATTAATGATATCTTAATTCCTGTGTAAAACATTAAACAGAAGATGTCATTTGACACATAGATAAAAAGCAGAATAGCAATTGGATCTTGATTGAGCTCATAGATTATTTAGGTACACTTTATTACAGAGATTCATTTGTCTCCTTGGGGGACAGTACCGTTCTAATGTGTATTATCTGACTGCCTTTCTTTATTCACTTCTCACTTCCATCTTTCAAATGGTTCTTGCAGGGGTGGCCAGTGGCTGGTTTTTGCCTCGGAACCTCCACCAAACATACCACAATATTTCTGGTGCATCAGAAGTGAGATCCCATCTCTCCTCACTGTCTTTTTGTCTTTCTTTGAGGGGACTTTGGGGGTGAAGATGAGAGAAATAAACGGACTTTATTTTTTTAAAGGAAGTTCTGGGGGCTCACTAGGTAGACAGGGGGAGCTTTATAGGGATCATCATGTGTAATTTCCCTGTAGAGCCACAGTGGCGCTTTGGGTTAAACCTTTGTGCTGGCTGAACTGCTGACCTGAAGGTTGGCGGTTTGAAACCACGAGACAGGATGAGCTCCCATCTGCCAGCTCCGGCTTCTCATGCGGGGACATGAGAGAAGCCTCCCACAGGATGGTAAAACATCCGGGCATCCCCTGAGCAACGTCCCTGCAGACAGCCAATTCTCAAGTCAATTCTCAAGTCACTTCTGACATGAAAGAAAATGTAATTTCCCCAGGCATAGATCAGTGAATACTTCCATTTATTTTTCTACATATTCCTTCACATAACTATTTTAATTATTCCATACTTTGATCTCAAGGACTATCATCATAAAGATATACAGCTCTGAATCTCAGTCAAAACTCCAAAACACTTTAAAAAAGTATGCCTACATTGAGTTACTAGTTCCAGCTAATAAGGTTTATATATATATAAGTGTTGGCTTACCATTCAGCTATTGATTCAGTGGATCTGTTCTTGTTTGAGCCAGGAGTTGGATTTAGGCCACAGAGGATTTTTATTGTTGCGGTTCTTAAGATTTCTTGAATAAAGATTTAAAAGAAATGATTAGCTGAGTTACATAATGGTACTTCATTTGTGTCCTAAATGTTCCAATGATTATTATGGGTGCTTGATATTTTCTAAAATAATGGCAAATATGTTTCAATTTTATTTACAATAATGATTTTAAGAAACCTCCAGATCAGCATTACAGTGTTTTCCTTTCGGGCAAAGCCCATAGCTTTATTTGAACAACATTATGCCTACCTAAGATTTTGGAATAGCAGAGTAAAATAGTTTAACAGTGGCACCCAATAATTAAAGAACACATATTCTTTCTTCTAAAAGCATGTAAAGGAAACTCGTAGTTAAGTTAAGTATTCTTGCATTTATGCATTTTAATATGCTTTTTCTGCTTATCCTGAAGCATCTGCAGACCAGACTGAACATACACCTGCATACCAGATTAACTTGCAATGTGGCATGAAGAAAACATGACAATGTAATTGGAAGATAACAAATACGTAGCCTGAAAAACTTCTAGCTGAAATGATTACATGCAAGGCCAAAAAAGAAAGTCTTAACAGTCAGAAATCAAATTGGAATTGCAGGACTATAAATCAAGAAATGAAGATTATAGGTGTTTTATTCATAGAATCAAATAGCTGGAATGGCCCCAAAGGCAAACTGAGGCCATCCCTATTGCCTTAATGTGACATTGAGCCATTTTTATGTGCATCAACAGAGGGAGTTGTGATTTATTTCCATTATGCACAAGCAGCACTATTTTTCTTCTGTCTTAGGACAGAATTGAAAGATCTAGCAATGTGAACAACCCACAGCTTAGAAAAGTCACTTTTTGAACTGTGTATCCCCCAATTGTTCCATTTGCACTATCTCCAGCTGTTCTGGCTAGAGCTCTGTAGATTAAAAGATTGGGTTTTGTAGTATAGTCTGGCATTGCAGCTGAATAGAAATTTGTCCTACTGTTTCTTCTGGAGTCTAAAGTCCATTGATAATAGCAAAGCAGTAAGATTGGTAGAAAGATGATGGACCAAGCAACTCCTTGCATCAAGAAATAGTATGAAGAGTGCTCTACAGCTTATCAGCAAGTTAATTACAAAATATTAAGAATTGTATGAATTGCATAATAATTGAGACCCACTTCTCCTGTGCATGGACCTCAGTGGATGGTGAAACCTCTCCCTCCAATTCCAACTGCAACTGCTATGGCCTGTAAGTGATTAGGCTCAGTTTGATGGTAGCTGAGCCTCAGCAGCTGATGAGATCTCCATTATCATCGTCGTCATCATCATCATAATATTTATTTATATCCCACTTTACCTTCCTAAAAAGAAACTCTTGTTCATGTTCCAACTGCAGTGTGAGCAACCCTTCCCAGTTTCCAACAGAACTCACAACCTCTGAGGATGCCTGCCATAAATGCAGGCAAAACGTCAGCAGAGAATGCTTCTGGAACATGGCCATACAGCCCGAAAAACTTACAACAACCCGTAGCTTATTTATTTACTTACTTATTTATTTGTGACATTTATATCCTGTCCTTCTCACCCTGAAGGGGACTCAGGACAGCTTATATGAGTGGCATTATTCTATGCCCAAACAACAATAACAATTACAAGCAATTAAGCAACAATTTAAAAGAACATTAAAACAACATATGTAAATATTAGAGGACCATTGTGCATAGATCCAAAGCCAGATAATCATATTCATCTGTCCAAAGCCAATTCCAACTGCATTGCACAAATAATTATGCTGGGCCAAATTATTGCTCCAAAAGCCAAGTTTTCATTTGTTTATGAAATGACAGGAGGGAAGGGGCCAATCTAATCCTACTAGGAAGGGAGTCCCACATTGACTTCAGAGCAGGCATTAGAGCAGCCAGAACCTGTACTGAAACTAATTTCCAGTCTGCCACCCCTTTTCCTTGTGTGTTACACCTTATTTAGATTGTAAACCCAAAGCCAGGGAACTGTTAAACTAATAAATTATAAGCAATTCTGAGAATCATTGTGGTTGAATACAATAATAACTTAATGCCCCTGTTGCATATGAGAGCCAGCATGGTGTAGTGGTTTGAGTCTTGGATGACTGGAGACCACCTGCTCAACCACGTAAACCCACTTGGGAACCTTGGGCAAGTCACACTCCTGTATCCTCAGAAAGAGGCCGTGGCAAACCCTGTCTGAACAAATCTTATCTAGAAAACAAGATCTTAGGGTCACCATAAGTCAGAAACAAGTTGAAGGCACACAGCAACAGCAGCACCAACTGAGGATAGTTATGAAAACCTGATTTTGACATTCAGGTTGCTTCCCCCCCCCCTCCTTGTCAGTGTTGAGCAACACATAAATGTCCCTCCCCTTCCACCGTTTCTGTTCCCAAATAACCTGATGTTCTTAAGGAGACTTCATTTCGGGGTTTGCAGCAAGACATTCTGTACTTATCTGCCTGCTGGATTCCCTGTCTAACGCCTACCCACTAGTTATGACACTGAGAAACAGCACGACATGACAGCTTTGACCTTGAGAAGCTTCACAATCAACATTCATGCAGATTTTCTGGGAGAAGAGGAGGAGAAATCTGCCTGCCACTCCCCAGACTGTAGACCTTGTAATAGCTTCTCCGCCTCCCCATTTCTTTCAGCTGCCAGCCTTTTTGTTGTGTACCTTCGAGTCATTTCTGACTTACTTCAACCCTAAGGCAAACCCTGTTTTTGGCAAGATTTGTTCAAAGGGGGTTTAACATAGCCTTTTTCTAAAACTGTGACTTGCCCAAAGTCATCCAGTGGGTTTCTGTGGACAGATGAGCATTTGCACCCTGGTTGTCCAAGATCGTATTGTAACACCCAAGCCATTACACTGTGCTAGCAAAATTGTATCCCCCATATTTGTCATCAGCATATGCCAGTTGCACAATAAGAGGTATCCGAAAAAGTAGCACTCACCCTGAAGCCCTCCTATGTCAGATCTTCTTCATGTTTCAAGGAATGTTATCACAGACAGAGGTTATTTACCTTGTACTAACCTTGCCAGTTGTGAGTCCAAAAACACGTAACCTATAGTCAATCTACACTTTATTTTAAACACCCAGCTAGCATTTATACCTTTCTGCCCTTTAATACAAAAGTGAGTGCAAAAAACTAATTAAATTGGCAGAGACAATTGTTATGGATACTTCTAGAACTTCTTTAAGGGCAAAAGCCCTTAATTTAGAATGATATGAAGCCTTTAATGCTTTCCCACACTCCATTATCTTAATTGGCAATAAAAAGCCCATTACAAAGGATACAGATTTCTTTCCATTTCTAATTGTTAGAATTCTGCAATACCAAGGAATGGATAGTCTTGTTGTGATTTGAAGGCACTTGTTGACTCATAGCGGCCCCATATAATCCATAGGGTTTTCTTAGGCAAAGAATCCTCAGAGGTGATTTTACCAGTTCCTTCCTATGAAATACAGTGTTCCCTCCCTACTTCACCATTTGCTTTTCGTGGACTGGCTATTTCATGGGGTTTTGCCTCCCAGTTTATGAATGGTTGCTGTTGCCCAGAGCAGCATTCTAATCCCGCCTCCTGGTAATGATGGAGTGTGGAAAGGGGTTTCACCCTCCCCCTTGGGAGAGAGGCAGCCAATCAAGAGAGAATGTGAAGCTAAGCAGAGATAGCTAGCAAAAAAGTGTGTGGTGCCTTTAAATCTCTCCTCGCTTCTGCCTCACCCTTGGAACTCGATATAAACATATAGCATTGCTATTTCACAGATTTTCACTTTTCATGGTCCTGGAATGTAACACCCACAATAAGTGAGGGAACACTGTATATCTACAGCACCTGGTATTCACTGGGGGGGGGGGGGGGTCTCTCATCCAACTCCTAACCAAAACCAATCCTGATTAAGCTTTCACAGTCAGACAGAATATGGTGCTTTTTGAGGCTGTTGGTACCACCCTCCAATGTTTACTACAAAATTGAGTAAGGAAGTCAAATACTTACTTTTGTGCCTGGTTAGCAAGATGAGTCTAATGATTTTGGTCTAAATCCAGTTGTTTTTCTGACATGAAAACCCACTGAATCAATGGAATTTAAGTGTTGAGTTACTAATTTCTCATTGATTCAGTGGATTTATTGACAAAACAATTGGATTTAGGCCTTTCATTCCCTGAGTTACCACTTTCGTGTAATTGTTTATCTTTTGCTGGCACAGCAAAGAGGGTCAAATTAGTCTCCAAATTACAAAGTATTATAAAAATGCCTCTTTTGTATGGCAGGGCCACTTTTTGATTATAGCAATTGCTCTACTACAGGTAGAGAAATAATGATAAATATTTTAACATGAAAAGGGCAATTGAGGTTTATTCCTGGTGAGTTTTTTCTTCAGAATGGTTACTTGTGTAAATGGCCATGCTGAGTTGACCTGTGCTACTGCAGTTTTCTTCTGAGGGATCCATTTAGACTGTCATGGACTGGATGGCAATTAGAGCCCACATGTGTATGTGACCTGCATGTCTCCCACTGAGGAAGAACTTGCTCTGTCACACAGATACTGACAGTAGCATTGTTTAGTAAGAGAATATTTTCTTCCAAAAAAAATAATAGCATCCAGAGAAGGAGACTCTGCCACACTCTGAGGCAACGGCATAGTTCACCGACTAGCAATTCTTAGCATCAAGAATTTTTTCCTAATGTTTATGCTGAATCTCTTTACCTGCAGTTTGAACCCACTGTTCCATGTCCTTCCATGATGACCATATAATGCACTTTGAAGCCGAGGCAGTGGTAATTACAAAACGCATATTGTCAATGCGCACTGCAACTTGCATTTAAGGATACATAATGCATTTTAAAAGTCTCAGAAAAGTCTGAGTTCATCTAATAATACTTTGCAGAAGATGCCAGTGTATCCCAGATCCAGGGCAAAATCAGCTCCACAAAATGCAGAGCACATTGTACACAAGCACCCCTGCTGAAGCACATTATAGACTCCAGAACAGGAGCTGTCCAAAAATGGCCCAAGGGC